ATTATTATTATTATTATTATTATTATTATTATTATTATTTGAAATCGATGGCCTAAAAGCCCCAGGTGGGATTAGGAGCACATTTGTGTCCAGGGTCTAGCAGCTGCTTTTCTTTTAAAATATTTTTTTTCAAAGAGGTGAAAAATGGAACACATACTGTGATTCTAATAGCGCTGATCTCTCTGATCCGCTGTATCTGTGGTATAATAACTGTGATAACGATAATATATCCAACAATGTGCAAGTATTATGAGATGTTGCTTGTATCAGTCATAGTCTGCATTAATTAGAGCTGCTTTGATCACCCACAGTTTCTTAATTTCTCTGATGGACTGGGAGTAATCAAAAATGAAGAGCAAGTTTGGGCAGGAGGAGACTCGCTTAGCCCCTGCGGTGCTAGTGGCAATATATCACCGTGAGAGATGCAGGGCTGCAGCCCGCTTGCCTGTCACAGGTCACGTAAAAATAAATCTGGGGTTTCACATTTGCATAAATGTGACGGACATTGGAAAACAGCTGGTGAAAACGCTCCTCTTCTTTCTTGAAGCTATTTGTGGGGTTTTGCTTTTTTTCCTTCTCTGAAAGAGGAAGCTGTAATTGTTGTTAGGACATCGTTGAGACAAATAGCCCTCAGCTGAGATCTCAGTTGACATTTATTAAAATTCAGTAAGGGGGAAAAAAAAAGGGGCGGAAAATATATTTTCTGCTAGAGAGAGCAGTCTAGAAGCATATTAAGAGACTCATTACTTCTTCTCCTGTCATTTCCTCCTTTTTCGCATCCCAACCTGTCCCACCCCCTCTCGTCTGTCTAACTTCAGGCTGAAAAACTCAAATGTGGAAAGAGAATTACAGCATCATTCTTGTTATTTCACCATACACGGGCACCTTCGTGTCAGCTTTTGATTCCTGGCAACTGCATGGACTAGACCAGTGGTGGTGAACCTATGGCACGGGTGCCAGAGGCGGCACTTGGAGCCCTCTCTGTGGGCACACGTGCCGTTGCCCCAGCCTTGCCTCCCCCCACAACCCCCTCCTTTCCAGCAGCCCCCCTGAAGGAGTCGCCCCCGAGCGTGGCCCACATGGAGCAGCGCAGCCAAGGACATGGCAGCCAGGCAGCATAGACAAAACTCTGCCCTCACACCCCATCATGCACAGTTGATGCTGCGGGGCGCAGGCAGAAGGCGTGGCCGCCATAGCGCTGCTGGGCTGCCTGGGCGATCTGCGGCGGGCCCTGGAGGCAGGGAGTGGTCCTTTGGGCAGGTGGGGCGGAAGATGGGGGGGCAGAGCGGGGGCGGGGCAGGGGGTGGAGCGGGGGCAGGGCCATTTTTTGGGCATTCAGTCTCTAAAAGGTTTGCCATCACTGGACTAGACCTAAAAATGTTTTGGCAAAGGTTCCCCCCCCCCCAGAAGTGATGCCTGATGCCTCAACCACTTCACCAAACTGGCTCTCTCTATTACATTATACTATATAATCTACTTAATAAATATGGAGCTGGCTTCACCTTCTACATGGGTAGGACCATCCTGAATGAAGTTTTGCCCAGAATGCCAGCAGACTAGGAAGGGGATTGTTTTTGCCATTTCCTCTTCCAACTACAGGCTACCCCCATAGTTATGGAGAGTCCCAAATATCCAGAGCAGATTTTCTGAGACAGAGGGGACTCTCTGTGTGTGAAATCCTCAATCAGTCAGTGTTTCTTTTGGTCCACAGATCACACACTGGATCAAACCCATTTTTAATCATTTCTACCCTGCACATTTTCAGTGTATCTTAGTCCTGACATTTTGAAGGGAAACTTTCTTTGGGTTTCTAAGGACATTCAAGCCTGAGATATACCCAGAAGTTTAAATTCTCCCATTTGTGTGTAAGATAAAGGGATGGTTGCCAATACTGCTAATAATCCAAAAGCAGATTAAGATGATGTGCAGTAGTAGTTACAGAGGTGCCATCAAGTAGAGAGAGGGCATTAAACTTCAACTGGGTTTTCCTTCAGAGACAATCGAGGAGAAAGGCTTTAATCTTAATTGGGTACATTCAGTTCAGGGATAGGGGTCGTTGTGCTAGGAGAAAGATACACATGGATATTCGGTAACCTGCTGAAGTTTGAGATTTGCAAGGATTCAAAATGTTTTAGTACGAATTCAAGTGGCAAACAGCAACAAGAGGAAAGATCAGCTGAGATATTGCAAAATATGAAAAAGACCATGGCCAAAACCCAGGAGATGAATAAGAGAATAAGTCAATCCCCTCTTCTCTATGACAGCCTCTCAAGTACTGGAAGACAGCTACCACATCCCCCTTAATCCTTCTCTTCGATAGGGTAGACATACCTACCAGTAGGTCCCTCAACTGTTCATCACACAATTTAGCCTCTAATCCCCTAATTGTCCTTATTGCTCTTCTCTGCACATCTTCTAGTGTTTCAGCAAATTTTTTGTATTGTGGTGACCAGAAGTGGATGCAGTATTCCAAATGTGGCCTCACTAGTGCAGTATAAAGCAGCACGATCACTTCTCATGATCTTGATGTTATCCCTCTGTTGATGGGATAACAGGACTGCATTGGCTTTTTCGGCAGCTGCAGCACATTGCTGGCTCATACTTAAATGGTGGTCCACTAGGACACCTCGATCTCTGTCACAGTTGCTAATGTTGAGCCAGGCACCACCTATTTTGTACCTTTTTATATCCTTATCATTCTGTATCCTTCCTGGTCCTTGTTCTTTGTTCTACTTTAAAGATCCATTCTTTTTCAGATCTCACCAAATACTGCCTGCCCGTTTTAAAATCTTATTTTGAACCACAAGAGCTAGGAGTTTTGTTTATTTGTTTTGCCCTTTGTGAAATAATATGTGTGGAGATGCTGAAAATGCTGACGATTGTGTCAGTTTTGTTTATTTATTTAGTTTATATGCTGGAGAGTTTCTATTGCTCAAAAGAGGAACTTAAAAGCAACTACATAATTAGACGGTAATGAACGCATGCCCTGAAACAGTGATTTGCCAATTTTTTTTTGGTGACTGGCCATTGTTACAGAATCAGCGCTTTTATGAAGCAAAGGCTGCTGCCAAGATATTTTAAAGATCATTGCATACAGTAAATGTGAAATATCGCTGTGCGCATCCCCTGGCCAACAAGGATTGGCATAATGTCAAGCATGCAACAAAGACTCTGTCTACACTGCAATTGTGTCTCTAGCCTATTTTTTTAATTTTCTCCGTTGGAATCATCATTCACCAAAGGGGTAGGGGAAGTAAAGAGGTAGTTCAAGGCCATAATGGTTGTCAGGAGTAGACCAGCTTTCCTTACTATGGATTACAGTACTAGGGCACGGAGCAGGTTCGATAAAGGAGAAAGGCACCATCCATTGCCAGAACAAATATTCTGCACAAAGAATGCTCTAGTTTTAAAACTCTGCATCTGTGATTAAAAGAATCAGGTAGCAGGTGATGGACTGATTATCTGAATTTCTGGAACGTAGTTAGAATGTAGTAGTTTTAGAAGAGATTTATGAACACAGGCAGTGTAGTGATTACTAGTCTTGGACTGAGGAGATATACCTTCAAGTCCTCACTAAATCATGGAGCCGGGCTTCTCTCTTAAACTAACCTCTCTCACAGGACTGTTGCTATAGCAATAAAATGAAAGACCCCGTGTATATTATCTTGAGAACTGATAAGAAAAGATGGGATATAACTGCAGTAATTAATCAATGAATTGTCCTTGGTTTCTTTGGAAATCATCCCAGTACTGAACCTCTGGAAGAAACAATGCAGTTTGTACACACAAACTGCAAGGATGATTTATTAGACTTGTAAACCTGTTGTGGTTAGGATGGGAACCAGGGATTATAGTCAGGGTAAGATTTAAAAGTGAGTGTTCTGGAACCTGCTGCAAATTACAGAATGGCTAAGAGATTAAGCTGGGGGTCTATGCTCAGGTTTGGGTTCCATACCGATGTAAACACCTCTGTGGTCTGCTGTATTGTGGCAATCTTCGTCCAGCTCCATTTCTTGAAGAGCTGCACACGGGTGGGATTGTGCAGCGTGGCGGATGGGTGCGTGCGGAAAAAGGTGGGGAAACGCTGGCGGTTGGAAAGAGCTGGTGAGCTGGAGCCATAGGACAACTGAAAAAGAAGAAGATGGAAATATGGTTAAAGACAGGAAGACTGAGACACCCGTCATTCCTTAGCTAACTTTGAGATGAAGATTCTCTTTCTGCCCCGTCATACAAGCACACCGATCTGTCTGGTTAACATCGAAGTCATCTGTTCTAGGCATCTAGAGATGCTTCAGTCAAGGTTATGGAGTCTTGCAACGTATTTTACCTTCTTCCATTCACGAAAATGGAGAAAGATAGGATCTATGGTATCATAGATACATGGGGAAAAATGGTGTTAAAAGAAAGGTATAGTTCTTTGAATCTTTTCACTTTGAAGCATTTTCTCTATGGGTTTCAAGTTGAAAATTTCAGCTTGCAGGGTCAAAATTAAGGTTGGCTTCCCCCATAACATCACCATATATATCAATATGAGAGACGCTTACCACAATGAGATTCCACATGCGTGCAGCCTCGGCCACCAAGGTGGAAACACTGCTGCAGCCCGGCAAAAGGATGATCTTGATGGGGTCATTGTAGAGGAGCTCATACAGAAATTTAGTGGCCACACCAGGTTCACACTGTAGGTGGTGAGGAACAGATAGAGACAGAGATATACCTCCTCACTAAGAATCTCAACCTGTGCATGGTCCCGCATGCACCTCATTCAGGATTCTGGTCAAACTCAAGGAACTGTTCCTAATCGTTTATTTTCATTTCAAATGCTAGGCAAGAAGCTGTACATAAAATACTTTTAATGGAGTCCGAACATGAACAAGTTGCAAACTAGGACTAGAAGAAACATGGAAGAGTAATGCTTGGACAAAATTAATAATAGAAAGAGTTAAATGTCCATGTACATTTGGGTAGAATGGAATGGAAAAGGCTTTTGTAGTAAAGTGAGAATGTAATTTGTTAAGTAGGTAGAGAAAAACATAAGAGCGTTTGGTTTGCCAATGAACCTTCCTCTCACAGATGGGCCACTGTCCTCCTGTGATCCTTGCTCCATAAAAAAAAACAACATTTGATATATTCTTGCCAACTGCTCTGCCAAGACCTAGAAATGATGCCACTACCGACAGACCAGAGTTCTTGGATTGCACTGGAGTTGCACAAGGAAGGAAATGGCTTCTCCAAAGAGCCAGCTTACCACAGACACACTATACCCCTTCCTCCCCTAGCTTCTGAACAATGAAGGTACTCAGTTAGGACAGTCTTCACCAACCTAGGTCTCCCCTAGAAACATGGACTTCAGCTCTCAGAATTTCCAGCCAGTATGTCCACTGCTGAGAATTCTGGGAATTCAAGTTCGCATGTTTGCAAGATGCCCAGGATGAGGAAAACACAGATATTTTATTTATTTATTAGATTCATGTGTCCTCCATCTCATCTAGAAACAACTTTAGGTTAGAGAGGCTTCACGGTAGTGAAGGAATCGACAATTCATTGGATTTTTGTTGGCAGGTTTTAAAAGATGCCAATCCTGGAGTTTGAATTGGGTTTGAATGGGAGGGAGCAGAACTGGCTTGGCCCTACCTTTCTTGGAATTCACTGGGGTTACATGAGGAAGGAAATGACTTTTCCATGGACACATTACTGGTCAGAAACAATTTCAGTCCATTTATATGCCAACACGCAGAAACAAAAAGCCAACCTATTATAGATACCATGGATGACTTTTCCCCATGGAGAAGCACACTAAATGTGTTCACCCGATCCACATTTTTTCCCCTACATTTCCATTAATAAGGCATAATAAGGCACAGCATAGCTAAGCCTCTCAGGCTGATGGTGACTATAGATAGGAGTAAAATCTTCCTTGTATTGAACATGATGCCGGTGACTCTGTGAGCAGGCCCATGCCACTTTCTGGGCAACAGCTCATAAACGCCTTGCACTGCCATTTTCCAGGCCATTTTCTCAACGTTCAGTCATCTGAGCACTCTCCAATTAAAAGGTTGGGAGTTGGAGCCAAGTTGGCTAATGAAACTTCACCTCCCACTAAGGCAGAATATAGGCAACCTGAGACTCTTTTCTGCGATTCCCCACAGCCACCTAAGATCGCAGCTGCTAAAAATGGTGGCAGTTTCCTAAAAATGTGTAGATCAGGGGTCTTGAAACTTGGCCCTTTTATGACTGGTGGACTTCAACTCCCAGAATTCCTCAGCCAGGCCTGCTGGCTGAGGAATTCTGGGAGTTGAAGTCCACCAGTCATAAAAGGGCCAGGTTTGAAGACTCCTGGTGTAGGTGGAAAACACCCAACTGCAGGCTTAACCTAACCAAAACGGTAAATGAAAAAAAATCCAACTCTACCACAAAACAATGGCCCGGCCCATTCTGCACTATCCTTTTATCCAGTGTGCTCTCTGGCCACGCAAAATAATCACTGGCGAATATCTGTAGCTTGGGTGTAGGGATGAGAACGAACCTTCACCCTCAAAAATATTACTCTCATCCCAGCCATCCAAAGGTTCCTCACACCTCCAATGGGTTTGAGTGTGCAACGGATGCCTACCTACAGTATAACTATTCCCTAACTCTGCACCTTCTGTCTGACCCCTGCCTCGCTCTGTCTATCTTTGAACAAATGTGCCACCCAAGACCCTCCTGCTGTTTTTTTTCCTACAACCCCCCCCCACCCATGTGCCCCATCCTGTTCCTGGCTGTGAGCCTCCACAAGGGGATGATGAATTATTCAGGGCATCGGCGCCCCAAGAAAGAGGATCAGTTTCCATGGAAACCTCAGGCAGGCGCTGCCACGGCAACCTGTCAGCACCAGGGAGCGGGCTTCAATAGGGATGGAACAAAGGGAACGCTATGGGGGGGCGCGGTTGACTGGGAACCACAGGAGAGCAGAAGACAGGGAGATAGAAACAGGAACAGACAGGGCAGGGAAGGGAGGTGTGTGTGGGAGAAGGGACAGACGACCAGACAGACTGACGGGTAGAGGAATGGCTGTGAGCAGAGACTGATAAGGGAAGCAGAGAATAATAATAATAATAAAAAAGTTTACAGAAATTCCATGCAAGGGAATGGGGCAGGATGGTGGCAACTGGGCCACATTGCTTTTTGCCCTAGGATGAGATGGAGGGCGGGGAGGGCTAATGTACACAGCCCTTGGGTAGCTGGGCAAAGGAAAGAGCTACAGGGATTTCAACTTGAGCATCGTGTGTGGGGAAATTTGTAGGAATGTGGCCTGCCTCAAGTTGCCAAAGTCAGTCCAAGAATCTTTAAGGCAAGGAGTTGAAGCAAATGAGGAAGTTAAGATGGGCGTTTTGGGAAATCTTGCCCACATACGCCCATCAGGGCCACATTAACAGGCTCAGGGTGAGACCACCAATCCATAGGTACACGTAGACCCAATGGCAGTGAAAGTATCTCAGGAAAGCCACAAGAAAGAGCAGAAACGGTTTGGTTCATTTCCAATCTTAGGAAGGAAAACATGGTCCAATTATGGCAATATGTGGCATGAGCACTCATACCGTAATGGGCTTTATAGTACTGAGGATGAAAACCAGAAATCTACTCCAATTAGGGGTAAAAGACGTGGCTTCTTCCCAGTTGTTATCTAGCCTGAAGGACATTCCAGAAGGCAACTACAAGAAGAGAATATTTGTAGCCCAGGGTTGAACTGTGGATCTTTGGTGTTCTCTGAGTTTGGTTGCTTGCTTGCAGACTTTTCATTACCAAACTGGGTAACATCATCAGTGCACTTACCTAGTTTGGTAATGAAAGTCTGCAAGCTCAGAGAGCACCAAGGAACCCACATTCCAAAAGGCTTAAAACCACACAGGAAATAATATTTTACAACAAGCACCCCGGTTTCTCTTCCATTCATTATTTGCGGCACATTGTGCTGTTCGGTGCACAAGAACTCATGTAATACAGCTGATTATAAGGGAAAATATTAAAAAAAAAACATGTAGAGGTAAAAGCAAAAGGACAAAGGGTTGAATAAGAACTTAACAAACAAGGGGAGCTGTCCAACACATATTAGAGAGCAATGACTGCAAATGGAACGAGTCAAGATTGTTATCAATCAGAAATGGTGCATGCAGACCTAAATGGACGAAGAACACAGCATGTGAGTGTGCAATGGAAGCACATAAAACAATTGGGCATAACCAAAGCTAGGTCCCTGGAAATACCATGCCGATTCTCTGCACTATCTTCTTCTGTACAGTCTTTCTGGAGGGAGGCACATGAATTTAAAAAATGAAATGTTGGGAAGCAGAGAGGGTGATTGACAAGGGTGTTTATACTTCAAGAGCAAGATCTGGCTTAGGGAGCATTTGTTATTCAACCCTACTTGCAACTGACTTTGGAATATTTTGGTTTGGGCAGAAACTGGTGCTCTGAGGATGCGGAATTTCACATCATCATTGGCTCAAAAGGAGCTGAATACTCCTCTCTATGTTCCTCCTCACAGAACCTGCACCAAAATCCACCCACATCTATAACCCTAGAGCAGTGTTTCACAATCTTGACAACATTAAGATGTGTGGACATCAACTCCCAGAATTTCCCAGCCAGAAGTTGAAGTCCATACATTCAAATTGTCAAAGCTGAGAAACGCTGCTCTAGAAAACAGGGAGTCCTCAACTTATAACCGCTCAGTTAATGGCCATTTGAAATTAGGACTGTTCTGAAAAAAGGCGACTTACTGGTCCTCACACATGCGACGGTCACAGAATCCCCATTGTCACGTGATCAAAATTTAGGCACTTGGCAACTCTCGTGTATTCACAGTGATTGCAATGTCCCGGGGGTTCATGTGATCACCAATTGCAACCTTCTCAGCCGGCTTCCGATAAGCAAAGTTAATGGGGGAAGCCTGATTCGCTGATTGCGTAATACCCAGGACAAAACAATTGTAAAATTGGGTGTGAATCACTTAACAAACACAAATTCTGGTCCCAGTTGGGGGTCATATGTCAAGGACTACCTGTAACCTTGAATCGGATTATAGGTCTTATCTTGGTTTATCCACATGGCTGGTACTCTAGTGAAGAGAGCCTCATAACATCTGTGATGCTACCTCAATCAATCTTTCATAACTATTGGCATAGTGACCTCCCATTTAAGATCTATACCTAAAAAAAACCCTACAGCCAAACTACCAACTGTTGTAGAATGTACTGTATTATCTTCAAGAAACTGCTATGCTGACAACAAGGCCTCCAGTCCTATAAGCCCCATTAAGGACACCATTTTCTGAGGGATCCTTGGTCCTCTCTGAGCTTGACTGTTTTCTTGTAGATGTTTCATTACCCAAACTAGGTAACATCATCTGCGCTAGTCAAGTTAGTCAATTAGAGTAGCACTGATGATGTTACCTAGTTTGGGTAATGAAAGTCTACAAGAAAACAACCAAGCTCAGAGAGGACTCCCTCATTTCAACCCTGAGCTCCAAAAATTTTCCCTTCATTGATATAGTTTTCTTCAAGCTGAACTTGAATCCTGGAAAGTGCATCCCTGCATTCACACAGTTGTCTTGGCAGTTGCACGGAAAGGTTTTCTGCTGCCCCTGCTGGGATCTTTTTCGGGTCTAGCCTAAAGCCAAGAATTTTCTGGTGGTCCCTTATTCCAAGTACAAACCACTCTTAAGCCAGCTCCCTAGAATGTACTTCTCAACTTTCATTCCTTTTAGAGGATTAATTGTTTGCTCTTGCTGTTGCTGCTTCTCCTCTTCTTCCTTCTCACATTAAAAACATGCATCTTCCTCGGGCACATCTCTCTACGTGGGAACCCTAGCAAAATTGTTAACTGAGTCATTCTCATGTTTGGAATCTCCAAATGACTCTTCCTCTTGCGCCTCCAGCACCAATCCCTTCCACAAGCTCCATTTCTGAAAATGCTCCCCAAACTTTGCTTCCAATAGGTGCACCAATGTCACTGCTCCAGTCCCACCCTTCTTCCATCTGTTTACCTTCTTGCTACGTTGGACCATAGCACCCTATGAGAGCCCTCTGCCACCCCGTCTTCCAGGTCATTCTTTTCACCAGATCCTAGTCTAATCATTGTCTGTGGCAGTACCCCAAGTGCCCCATAACTCATTTGGAGCTCTTCGGAGGAGCCCAAGCTTGACCAACTTTGACCAACTCTTGCAAAGAAGTGAGAAATTGCACAGGATCATACCAAATGGGGCTCTGGCCCAAAGGTTCTGTTAAAAGTTGGATGGCAAAAGAAGGACTTTCTGTGGGATTATGCTCACCGTTTCTCCCTCTCACATAGCCTTGAAACCCTTGAATGCCGACTTAGTCCTGCTATTTATTTATTTAACTTATTTATTTAACTTATTGTCCTCTCCCTCATCTTTTAGCCTTCTTGTGGATCCTTCCCGTCCTAAGAGTCGAAACCTTCACCCACACCCTTGCTCCCCCCATCAAGATCAGTTCCCCGTCTCTGCTTTGAAGGCTAATTTCTCTTTCCATCCTTCTGTGAACCTCCTCCCCCCCCCTAAGAATACCCTAGTTGCGTAGACCGACATCTTTTAAAACATCTTTCCAAGCCCAGCCGCTTTTGGTCTCCATTTACAGATGGGGTCCCTGCACGATCTGTAGGCGAGGAGGACTTGTTCCAAGATTTTCCAGTGTGCTTAAGCATCCCACCGCACCCACACAACTACCTTGGCTGTAAGGCACAACTAGCGTCCTCCTCTCCCAATTTGATTTCTCCCACATCCTTCCAGGGTAACGGGGGAGGGGGGGGGAGGCTTCCCTGCCGCAACCCAGGGCCCTTTCCCTTCCCTCCCCCTGAGGAAGCCCACCTGTCCCCACCTGGGCGCTGGGACAGGTGGGACAGGTGGGGCTCTGCTCACCTCGCTGTCGCGGTGGTCGAGACGCAGCTCGTAGTCGGGCAGGATGTCCCTTCGGCTGTTGACGTCCTCGAGGGCCATCTGGGCGGAAGGCAGGCAGGCTTGGCCCCCCGGCCAGCCGCCGGTCATGGGGAAAAGCGCCCCGATGTGCAGCCTCTTCTTGCCTGCGCCCAGCGGAGGAGAGAGCAAGAGCCAGCCCGTGAGCACCAGCAAGGCCACCTGGGGGCCCCCGCCGGGCCGCGGGCCGGGGAAGGCCATGGTGCCGGCCGGAGGTCAGGGGCGACGGCGGGGAGGGCGCGCGGGGGTGGCTGCACTGCGCGGCGCTGTCGGTGGCGGCGGCGGCGGCGGCGAGGGCGCCGGAGCCGGCTCCTCCATGGCGCTGCCCGGCGTCGGTGCTGCAGTAAGCGAGCGAGCGGGCGGGCGTGTTGGCGAGCGAGCCAGCCAAGAGGAGGAGGGGGGAGAGGAGGGGGAGGGGGAGGAGGGGGCGGGGGCTGATGTCAGCGCGGAGCCGGCGCGGAACGCCGCCGTCCAAGGGCGCGGGGGGGGGGGAATTGCAATAAGCCCCCCGCACCGCCTCGTCGCAGGGGCGGCGGGCGGGCGAGCGAGGGAGCGAGGCGGCCAAGGAAAGGGGCCGAGGGGGGGGGGGGAAGGGGGAAGAGGGAACGAAATGCAGGCTTGGTGGAGGGAGGCAAAAAAAAAAAAAAAAGGGCGCTAAGAAAAGAGCAGACGGTTAGGAGACCCTCTGGGGCGATGGGAGAAGCCTGAAGAGCAAACGGATGAGAAATGCAGAGAAAGGGCAGAGATGGTGGAGAAGGCAAAGGAGGGACGGAGCTAGGAAGGCTGTGAAAGAGGTCTAACGTAAAGGATTCCAGTGAGACAGACCAGAGCCACGAGGAACAGAGTTGAGATTAGTAAACATTCACACACACACACACACACACACACACACACACACACACACACACAGACACACACAGAGACAGACAGACAGACAGACTGATGGAGAACAGGAAGATGCCAAAGGAATGGGTTAGGCCAGGGGTAGGCAACTTTGGCTCTTTTATGACTCGTGGACTTCAACTCCCAGAATTCCTGAGCCAGCCAAGCTGGCTCAGGAATTCTGGGAGTTGAAGTCCACGAGTCATAAGAGAGCCAAAGTTGCCTACCTCTGGGTTAGGCAGATTGGCCAAAATTTATCCAGCAAAATCCCTCCAAGAACTACTGTAATAGCTGGGATTGCCCAGCAGGCTAAATTTGGTTGAACTTTATTATTGGGAGCTGAGGAAAGGAGTTGGGATCATGTGGATGCAACCCACTTAGGTAATGATTCAGAGTAGTGTGAAAAATGGAAATTCAGCGGACAGGTTTAAGTCCTAATCAGAAAAAGGTGAGGGGGGGGGGGAAATGGACCAACAGGAGGCAAGATGGAATGATGAAGGAAGAGTCTGGAATGTTTTGGAGATATGTGGAGAAAGAATAATAGAAGGACAAGGATAGGGATTAGGAGGTAAAGAGATGAAAGACAGAGCAAGAGAGGATGGGGATTTGGAGTTCATTGGAAAAAATATGGGGTGAGATGGGGGGCTAGATTAGGATGATGGAAGACCAGAAACTGATGGAAGTCCAAAGGAATGTCTGGTACAAGTTGGAGACCTGAAGATAGAATGATAGATAGAAGCTTGGATAAAGAAAAGCTATGCAGGGAGGGAAGTGTTAAAGAAATTGGAGGGTGATTAAAGAAAAGAAACATGTATTTAAACAAGTCAGAATAAAATACCAGGCCCTCCATTGTGACTAGCAACATGCTTCTCTATTACTCATATTTGCTGGCATGTTGGAAGATGGACTCTGGAAAGGGAGGCAGTTAAAGAATGAAGAAATTATGTGGAGATAAGAGTAGAAGAGAAAGAGCAGAGAAAACAGAGGGAACCGTTGGTAGAAAAATGAGAAAAGTGTAGTGAGGCTCGAAGAAAAAGATAGTTGAAATTAGATGTGGGGAAGGATGGAGAAACAAAACAGCTGAGGTGGAAGGTGAACTAATGAGGACAGAGGAGAAGAAACAGAAGTGCAGTTAAAGTCGGGAACACAGAAAGAGGAAAATGACAGATGCAGTTAACAAGCAAGAGCCAGATAGAAAAGCAGATATAAAGAAAGACAATCCAGGATGGGAGTCAAAGAGGTGGGGAAAGGAGGTGGTAAAGGAAAGTGAAGAGGCTTTACAAAGACACACACAAAACACAAAAAGGCTGACAAAGAAAGGCTGGAGGCAAGGATGCAAAACAGCCATGGAGGGAGGGGGGAAAAAAGCAGTGGGATTTATCAAAACACACCAGAAGGGAAGCAGGGAAGCATGGAGTGATGGAAATAAAATTGAGGCAAGGATGCCGTGGAAATGGTGAACAACAACCAGCAATTCACACACAGATCAGCAAATCATAGCCATCAAGAAAGCAGCAACTCTGACATGTAGAGGGAGCCAGTCTAGCCTTACAGAGCTACCAATTCTGAGCTTGGTAAGTCCAAACCACCAACAGATGATAGTTGAGTTACAACTTTTCCTATACCTTTGCTGCCACCTATTGGGTGCCTGGATATTTGCAGCCCAGATCAGATAGCCCTAATCTAGGTGGCCAGAAGAAGGGGAAAAAAATATTTTAGGTTATCCTATCCACAGATAAATGGCATCAGAGGAAGTAAACCCAGTTGTAGTGTATCCATTCTGCAACAAAGTTAGCAGGGCAGAGAAGGTGGATGTTGGGCCTAGCATGGAGACTCTGGGAGATAGGATTCCTGGGTTTTCTGAAAGGGGGGCTAAATTGATTAGAATAGTGTGCTTTTTTTGGGGGGAGGGGGATTGCACTGTAGAAGTCCTTGGCTCTTTCCCCAGCTCTGGGAAATGGGGAGGAGGTAGTGTATATCACCAATTCCTCTCCCTGCTGGTTGCTGACATTTCCCTGGCAAAGAGACACATGCGGAGGTGTCTGGAAAAGGAACAGAAACAAAATAAATAAATAAGGGGGCTCCCTGCACCCCCTATTTAGTGTTCACCCTTGTAGGGAAACAGAGGCTTTGTAAGAAAGGATTACGTGGAAGAAAAAAGACAACTGGAAAAGCAAAGGTTTGCCACCTGGAAGTGTAGCCCCTGTTCCATCCTGTGTCCAGTCTCCCTGTTGTAACTCCTTAGACTCTCGTCATAGTTTCTTTCCTGTCTTAAAGTCCATTCTGCCTCTGTTAGGCAATTAATGTGAAGTCTTGTGAGGAAAAAGGATTTGGAATTTGGGCTCTCAGGATTTTGATAGGTCAAATTATCATTCATATCATCTCCTGGAGGACCTCTTTCCAAAATGGCCAGGAGATAAATGTGTCCCTTTATACAGAGCACACACACACCAACACACACACACCAGGCAGCCTGTTTCAGCTCACAGAGCGAGGTGTTAAGGCTATAGATAGAATATTTGGAGATCCCATTTTTCTTGGCTATATCTTGTGAAAGGTATTGCCTCAAATGATAATAGAAGAGAAGTGTATGTGCAACAGTATTAAGAATACAAGAAGTCTGATGCATATTCTGGACGGCATCAATAGAAGACTTCTCAAAAGACATTTGCCAGCTGTTTCCCCATCCCTCTATTGAAACAGCTGGCCTTCAGCAGTAGCTACTCGGAGGGGCAGATCCGGTGAATGGAGAATGTGACAGTTGCTAGGCAACCGTATCCTACTGCCACTGGTAGATTTGGGCCTGGCAACAGAAGTCTAGTCTAGAGTCTGTTCTTGAAACCTGGTGCCTAGTGCCCCCCAGATGTGATAAGAGTATAAGGATGTTGAAGCCTATTCTAAAATTTGCCTGGCATTTCTCTTCCCAGTAATGAAATAGCTGTCCTAGGGAATATGTTATATACTATATTATTTTATTACTATGTTTAGGCTGTCACCTTCTAATCTGAACCCTAGTCCCATAGCTACCAATGGCATGAGAGATGAGGCAGGGGGTGTTTTCCTACCTATTTCTTCCCTATCTTAAGGTCCATTCTGCCTCTGTTAGGCAATTAATGTGAGGTCTTATGGGGAAAAGGGGGCACTAAGCCCCAGAGGAACAGGGAGGAATTATGGCTGCCTTATCTTCAATAGCAGTTGGATGATTTAATGTGTCTCATGCTTGGGTTGCAATGTGACAACCCTAATTCCTATTTAAAATTAAGTTTCTTCAAGTGGATGTGCACATATTCCTGGCATGTTCTTGGCAATCATATGGAAGAACTGGATTTACCAGGTGATTTTTGTGTTCAAGTACTATCAGATCCATCCTGCTTAGCTCCAAGCCTAATCAGGGTTAGACAACTGCTGCAATCTGCAAGAGACACCTGCCTTTAAAGAAAACCCAAGTCTGGCTCCTATGCCAACTGCTCACGCATGCTGGGGTAAAGGAGGAAGCCATCCGATCCTCCGCTTGTAGAACACCAAAAAAACAAACAAACCCCACAGCAGTATTAAGTTATGCCTCTGTGAAAACACTTGTGGTCCACTGTGTCCTTTAAAGTCCCAAGGGGAAATTACCTCATTGAATGACTTCAAAGTCTTATGCTTTTAAACAAGCTGCCCTGCAAATAATGAGGTCAACTTTTTTATCTGCCTGTCTAGCCAAGGCAGCATTCACACAGCCCAGCCTAATCTGGTACTTTCCACATATTGTGAGCCCCAAATTTATTTATTTATTAAATTTATTTGCCACCCATCTCATATCCAATGACTCTGGGCGGTTTACAGCATAATCCCCAAGCTTCCATTTTAGCTAAATGTCCAGGTCAAATTTTCTTCTAGTTCAACTATCTCAAATTTCTATTTTACCATTTGAGACACTGGAACTCTTTCAGGGGTTTGCATATGGGCCAGTTTCATAGTGTGGAGGGAACTGACGTGGGTCAGAATCATACTAGACTAATTTCATAGTGGGAGGGCTGGCTTTTTGGAACTGCCTCCTTCCTGAGGCTAAGAAATTGCCTTATTCCTCAATTCTTGAGGCCCTTACAATAGGTTCCAGGAGTGTTGGTTAGGCAGCTCTATAGTTTTATTATTTTTTGTCTTGCTGCAAAACAAGCAAGATACTAATCAGCTCAGATATTTGCAAAATCCACACTGAGAAC